AATATCGGAGTTGCATTTCAATCTTAATTGTAATCCCTTTATTTCGCTCTTTCCTTTGTACATAATTTGTATATAAACCCCTTCCAATGATGAGAAAGGGGTTAGCAAATTGTTCTAGGACCATTATTGTAAACTCCACAGCAAATACAAAAATAGTGGTTGTAGGCTCAAGAGTTTAACTCGCCGAGCCACTTTAAAAACTCATTGTCCCATTTACTTTACTACATTTTCCATTTATACACTGCTGGTTCTGATCCCGACAATGTCGATCAGATTGCTCAAGTTGGTGCAAATTTTATATCAACACACACACACACACACACACACACACACACACACACACACATATATATAAACTTTCTCTTAAAAAAAAAAAAAAAAAAAAAAAAATTGCTAACTATTTTGTAAAATCTGAATCAAAGTCTCCTATAAAGGGTGTTGTTTTTCTCATATTGGGGTTGTTATTACCTACATATATGTGGGGCGGCATCATGTTTATGGCCTAAGCTTAGAAGAAAGAAATAAAAAAATTAAGCGACTTTTTCCCAGCCAAGATTTGCCTTAACACTTTACCACCCAAAAAGTTTCAAACTACCACTTTCCCACCCAAAGTTTATATTACCACTACAAGAAAAATGTCTTTCGACGTCTAGCGAAATTAGACGCAGAAAGTAAAATTTAGACGTTAAGTCATTTTTTGGTCTAAATTTCGTAGTCGCACTTTAGTTGCAGTATCGCTGTCGTAGATTGTTTGCGCGTCTAAATTTTTGTTTAGACGCGGAAATTTTTTTTTAGCAACTAGCAAATTAGTTGCTAAATGCTGGTCAAAATAGTCCCCCAGCTTAGACACTAATAGTTCAAGGGTAATTTGGTAAAATTGCATAGCGACTAATCAATTAGTTGCAAAATGTACCTTTTAGTGTCTAATAATTTGTCGCGAATGCCATAAAAATTAGACGCCAAAGGTGTAAGGGTAATTTCGTAAAAGGTTTTCGCAACTATTTTATTAGTCGACAAATGTATCTTTTGGTGATCAAAATTTAGTGGTTAATTATAATACTTTTAGACGCTGAATATAGAATCTAAACGGTTTTCGCGACTATTTTATTAGTGGCCGAATGTATCTTTTGGTGACCAAAATTTAATAGTTAATTATGGTCATTTTAGACGCTGAATGTGGAATCCAATAGGTTTTCGTGACTATTTTATTAATGGCCGAATGTATCTTTTGGCGACCAAAATTTAGTGGTTAATTATAGTCATTTTAGACGCTGAATGTAGAATCCAATAAGTTTTCGCGACTATTTTATTAATGGACGAATATATCGTTTGATGACCAAAATCTAGTGGTTAATTGTAATCATTTTAGATGCTGAATATGAAATCCAAAAGGTTTTCGTGACTATTTTTTAGAAGTTGAATGTGGAAGCAATTATACTAAATCACTTTTTGCTACTAAAACATTAGTTGCAGAATGTGTTTTTTTAGAGCATTTCGTATTGACCTTCAGCGGAATGCAATTATGCTAAATTACTTTTTGGTACTAAAAAATTAGTTGCAGAATGTGTTTTTTTTAGAGCATTTTGTATTGACCTACATTATGCATTCAACATCAACAAAATAATTGACACAATATAAAAATCTGATCACTAAATCAAATATCATATTTTCATACATATATATATATACCATACATGGATTTTTATGCATGATGAGCAATAAAAATCCAAAATGCACTATCACATGTGCATAACCAAAAAAAACAGCATGCACCCACATTTTCAGCCCACTACCTATCTATCTGTGCATAACTAACAAAAAAATGCCCACCCAATGTACACCATCTAACATATATATGCAAACAATCCTAAAAAGATGGTTTTACCCCATTTCAAAATATCTACTGCCCATACAACAAAAAAATAACCATCAATACCGTTAACATGTCAAGTGTCACCAGTTGCGGTTTTTGAAATAGCTGTAGCTGATGAGGACGAATCTTCATCAGTTGGAGATGGAAATGGCTGTCCAGTTGGAGCTCTATGAGGTTGCTGTAGTTCAAGGGCTATAGTTAGCTGCTTCATCATGTCCAACAGGACAAATTGTTGGTGTTCAAGCCTTTTTATTTTCTCTTTTTGATGATCAAATAAGATGAGCTGCTCCTTCAACTCTTTAATTTTATTTTCTTGTTGTTGCACAATGCACCTTAACTCTGCTTCTGCTGCAGTGGATTGATGCTTAGTCTGTGAAAATGCAAAATTTTGGTTAAATCCGGAAGCTTTACCCATAACTTCCTCACATATTTCAGCTTCTGTTTTTTCACTTTCCCCTGCTTGTGTTTCATCTTGCAGCTCTATCATTTTTTCCTACCATTAATTCAATGCATAATCAATAAGTCAACCAACAAACTATATAGCAACATAAAAGAATACTGCAGCACCAAACAAAAATAAATTTGATGGAGTAGAGAAGCAAGTATCTAAAACATTATCAATCTAATACTAAACAAACATATAAGTAACAGATTTACAGTCACATATCCATGCATAAACATGCTAATTAATTGGAAAGATAAGGCTGTTGGATTTTGTAAATATCATAAAAGTGATGTGGCATATGCTTTGAAGATACAGAATGGAAGTTGATTAGTTCAGTATTACTCATCAAGAAGTATAAATCTGTACATATGCATTTCCCATTTTCAAAGTGTTTTAATTCTCCAAGAGGCAAAACAAAGCCGTGGTTCTCTGCCATTGCTAGCCTAAACCCAAGGACATACACTAACACGCTGTAAAAACTCCACTAACTTACATGATCTTCAGCAATCATGAAGCTGAATTGTTTGAAAATAACAGATTCATTCCAAGTGTACAAATCAGGAAAGGTGCCCAAAGAGAAGAATGAAAACTACATCTCATTTAAATTATATATTGATCATTGATCAGTGCACACTAATGCCAGCATAAGATCTAGTGTAGTGAAAAAATTCATTTCAGAAGATGATGTGCACAATTTTAAATCATTCTGATTTAGGTGGTTTCAGTCAAGCTGAATCTGAATTCCATGGAGGAAGACTTCACACACACACACAAATAAAAAAAAAAAAAAAAAAATCTAATCTCATCCGTCCAAGTTCAGCGATACGACATTCAGATTATAAATTCAGACAATAATAATATCTAGATCATAAAATCCTCAGTAGAATCTAGACCTCCATTAGGTGATATTTTAAAGTTACATATTTACTAATCAATTAACAACATGCTAACATAAATAAAATCAATCCATGAAAATAAAAATGCTCTTAAAGGCTCCTAAAATTGCACTTTTAGTTATAGCATGTCCCTAGGATGGATGACAACTGACGCAAAAATGCTTAGAAGAAACTTTGAAATATCTACATAAACCATGAAACAGGTTTTTCCTACTAGAAGAAACTCCAACTTTCTGCTTTAAAAAATACAAACTGTTAAGTTCAATCAAGAGAAACAATATAACACAAGTTAAATTTCAGCCTTATCCTGCAATGTTTGTAACATATCAATAGCAAACCACAACAAAGTTATAAAAGTTTGGTAACACTCAGGAAAACTAAATGCCAATATCAAACAAATGCACAAGCACCAACATAATTACAGGTCAAAAGATGACAGAGAAATGCAATGAGACTCAAATTAAAACAATAAAAGCATGGCAGTATGGAACAGTTACGGAAAAACAATACATTTATACCCAATTGAATGGTAAGACATTTCATATATCAATAATTGAAAGATGATCAACTTACATATAGCTCTCTTCCTTGTTCATTAATCCACCCTTTCTCGGTGCTCCAACGAGTGTCATGAAATAATTGTATAGGACCGACAGATTCCCCAAGTTGGTGCGCCTTAACAGTTCATATCGTCATTGACCATAAATTGAAATAAAATTAGTAAACAGGAAAACAAAGTAGTATATTTGTATAGGTGAATCATATTAAATACCTCTTCCTTTTTGTGCTGGATAAAGTTCTTGGAACCACTGCGGTGGTTACACCTCATCTTCGACCGGTTCTCAGAATAAGTTTTTCAAATATAAAAACATAGAAAGCAAGTTCCTGTCCTTTTAAAAATGACCAAAGGCTAGCGCAAACAGAATTGTTTTCAATATAAACTTCTTATTGACAACTCCATTAATGATTATGACATAGATCAGAGACCAAAGGTATACTTTGGAAACTACTTGATTTCCCGAAATAATGTGATCAAATGGTAGATATCTTATCATATCTAATTCAAAACCATTGTGGCAAGTGGTGCAAGCACGTAAACAAGAAGGATAACAGGTAGCCTACAATATTCAATTACTATAAAAGACAGAAAAAAGGCCAGATACTTCTTCAATTTCGTAAAATAAATCATAATAATTGATTTTCACACCTTAAGTGCTTAAACCACATAATAAGTATGGACCATGGCCGAGTGAAATCGAAGATCAATTACTTTCTTCAATGATATCTTTTGAGAGATTAAAAATTTGTAGGGCTCTAAGATAAACTCAAAAGCACTCTAATGGCCAAAATTCTATATGACAGATCTTTGTTATTTTATTAGATTTAATAAGTATGGCCTAGAGAGAAAGTGAAGGAAAGCTTAAAAAAATTTAGCCAAAAAAAAAAAAAAATTAGTTTTACAAAAATTTGTGGAAGAAACCAATACTTAAATTTGCAAAAAAATTGGAAACAGTCATATGCTTTATTTTTCCAGCTAAGGGATATTTTATAGATACCAATTTGGATGGAAGCCCTCTTATAGCTAACATATTGACTTTTACACGTTATACGTTTTAGTGACTTGTTGACATGGACAATTTATTCCGCTTACTACTCATCATTTCATTAGAAAAAGAACTACATACAGATACCAACTACTTGTCATATACACAAAATTTTAACTCCAACATAACCTGTCCCCCCTTATTGTTCTTTTGCAATGCCTTCTTTGTACAACTGGTATTGATTATATTTCTCTTCTGTAGCAAATTTTACGCCGATATTCACAAATAGCTTTGTTGCCTACAATATCTGTTTCATAAATATATGGAGAAGACTATTCATTTATAAGTCATATATGCAGTCATCTGATTTATTATCTCAAAAGATCATAATCCTAATAGCCAGAAAATAAAAAGTCTTGTTCAAAAGAACCTTCAAATGCATGTTCCTTTTTATTGATTAATAAAATCTTTTCTTCAAACACATTTTCTTCTTCTTGATCTCTCAATTTACTTCAATTCTTTCCCTATGTAGTTACATACTGAAAAATCTATTTGGCTAGGAGAAGGTACATATGGCTTCTTCTCATGGGTTGGGAAAATCATTCTTCAGATAGTGTATTTCATAGGGTTCTGATTTAGAAGATAGTAAACTTATTTTCTCCACGTTACTTCAGGTGCTTGATTTTCTTTTCATCATTATTCATTATTTCCCCATAAATACAAACACGGCCCCAATGCAAGTGAATCCCAATACTGTAAGGTTGGTAGCAATGGTACTTCTGATCAACATGGATAAGTACAGATATTTGTATGAATCTAAACTCTAGGAAAATAGGATACAGATGGAATGATTCAATCTTACCCCTCCTGAAAAGAAAAACACTTTGGCTTCATTAAAGGATTGATCTTTCCAAAAGGAAGAGGAGAAATAATCTATAGCCATTAAGGTAATGGATTGCTAGGAAATGGTGATCCATAGAGAAAACTATGAATAACAAGATGATGTAAAAAATCTGGCGGCTAAGAGCGCTGCATCAAGGAAACAGGTTAACCATTTTCCAAATGAAAGCCGTTGTGAATCTCTTCCTTCTGATGATAACACTTGAACTTGATTCTCTTGGATAATTTGATAATGCTACTAGAGAAGGCACTTGATACCTTTCTAAATCATAATATATCTACAATCTTAATCTATAACAAGAATGCAGGACAAAGAATAGAAGAAAATCAAAAGATAAAGATGTAGAATAGTGTTTGAAGAAAAGACCACCTAAAGTAGAAATAGGAAATAGGTAATTGAAGTTTATTCTTAACTAACATTTCCTCTTTTCCAACTCAGGATGCTTTCCAACCGAAGAAAAGGAAACCTTCGCAAACCATATTGAGAAGGTATAGTAAAGATAAGCATCAATTTGTCATGTGTATTGTATTACCAGTTGATAATTTCCTGCCTAAGACAAGGGTTAATAAGGGGGAATTGTAAGAGCTATAGTTCTATGTACATGTCAAGTAATTGTTATGTGTATAACATTCTTTTATTCAAACATTTACATATGAGAAGAATAAAGTATAGACATCAACATGTAAGAATCAATATGATTGCCAATAGGAGAAACTTTCTTCAAATACTATGAAGGCTTTTCTTAAATTTGTTATCCATAAATGCCGTAATGAAGAATAAATAGTCATAACACTTATAACTTCAACAAAAGTCTGAGCACAGTTTCTTCCAGAGAATTCTCTAGAATCAATTCTTTTGATTGAACATTGTTTCATTTCCTACAAGTTCTCATTGACCATTCTTATTAAACCTGATAAACTAGAGTAAATCATATATGAGTAAATCCGACCACAAAATAAACATGGACTGAAATAGGCCAGAAATCCTAATATTTCCTTCTCTTTTCAGACATACAAAATGACTAGCATGGAAAGGCATGGATGAAAATTAAAACTCAAATATTGATTAACCATCAAGGGAAGCTTTAAGAGGGCCAACGAACTCAGGAAAGTCAATTTCTTCAATTGCTTTTAATACATCATCAGCATTAATAGTTTGCCTCTTTGACTCCTTGCATATATCATTGGCCCTGCAAGTAATTTTCACCCCATAAACACTAGCTCACAACAAAAATTCATACCCAAATTCTCTTAACAAAAACTTTGTACTAAAATCACCAACGTCATGCTACAAAAACCACATAAGAGCTTCCATATAGTCATCAAATCCCAAGCTGTTAACTTAATTTAACCAATACCCACTTGACAAACCTTCCAATCATCAAACTTTCGAAGAAAAAAATTGAACTTTTGCGCTAAAATTTCAAAACATCCAAGATTCACCTAAGAAGTAAATATAAAAACTCTAAATGGGTGAGTTGAAACAATGAGATGGTTGGTTATTGCTTACGTGGCGGAGAGGTAGTGGATAAAGATACGGGCACTTTCGGAGAAAGCGAGAAGAGAGTCTTTGTTGACGGTGATGTCGGTATCGGGTGAACACTCGTTGAGCTTATCCTTAAACACTCTGCGCACGATAGTCTTAGGCAGCTCTTCCATCTCTGATACCACTTTCTCCGTTTCCATCTTTGAAGAAACCTTTGATTTTTCGTTCAAATATTATGTCAAAACAGGGTGGGTTTTCCATCAGAAATCAAATCTATTCCATCAAATATAAAAACGTAATTTACTAATCAACAACACAAAGTACTGTAAACAAGAAAACGGTATGAGGAGAAACATGATCTTTCTCAAAATCACCTATAAATATTGTACATTACCAGTTTCCTAACACAATGCATACCAAGTCTGACGTGGTCCATCAATCCATCAAATGAGCACCAACTGAAACTTCTTCTATTGGGGTAATCGCCAGGGATTTGCGTGGAGAAGAAATTGGGAATTTGGGGAAACAAGGAGGGATTTGCGTGGAGAAGAGAAGAGGTAGGTAAGGTTATGAGATTGGGAATTTGGGGAAATAGGTAGGGATTTGCGTAAAGAAGAGAAGAGTTAGGATATGAGATTGGGAATTTGGGGAAATAGGTAGGGATTTGCGTGGAGAAGAGAAGAGTTAGGTTATGAGATTGGGAATTCGGGAAATAGGTAGGGATTTGTGTGGAGAAGATTGGGAAATTGGGGAAATGCTTGCATTATATAGGTTAGGGTTTTCTGTAAATAACTTTAAAAAGTAGGGCTTGTAATTAGTTGTTTAATTTTTAAATATAATTATATTTTACAAACAAATCAATTTGCAACTAAATTTTTAGTCAAGAAAGAATTAATTATAGTTGCAAGTCTGGCGGGAACAAATAATTTGGGGGGAAGATGAATTTTTCACCTTAAATTGGCAACTAAACCGAATTTAATTATTGTATATAATTTTTTGCAACTATTGTTAATATAAAGACAAACATTTGTTGTTAAAAATGCCTTGGGCCCTTGTAATTATTGTCCAAATATGGGATATTTTGATAATTTAATTTTTCTGTAACTAATCATAATAGTTACTAATGCATTCTTAATTAATTGCAATTAATTTAGCTACTAACAGGTAGTTGCAAAAAAATGTTTTTTGTAACCAATAATGTAGATGCAAAATAAAATATTTTAGATGCAAATTGTCAAATTATGGAGGGAAAAATGGCCTACCAAAAATTGCAAGTAAATTTATTAGTCACACTTAGAACACTAACAGAAAACGCAGGAAAAACAGAGCAAAAGAGAGAGAAAATTCAAATCTATATTATTGATGATGATTACAAATGATACATGCGTAAAGTGTTTTATATATACATGCGCACTGCATGTATTTTGCATGTGCACTGTAACAGAAATAAAACTAACTCCCTGACACGTCATCTACAATCAACGGTCAGATTTCATTACTTCCTAACATCCCTTCATCAACAAAATGTCCACACTTCTTTACCTCACACTTCTTTACTTCTTCATTATGTTCTTTCAGTACATTCTAACATCCTTTCTTCAACAAAACCTTCTCAACTGATTAACAAGTAACAGAACACCTGAACAATTATTGCTCGCTGTTCGCTACACTTCACGAACACTTGAAAAACTCGTTGAACTTTACGAACACATGAAAACTCGCTCCATTTCACGAACATACAAAAACTCGCTGCTCGCTACGAACACACGAACACTTATTGCTCACTGTTCGCTGCACTTCACGAACACATGAAAACTCACTCATTTCACGAACACACGAAAACTCGCTTCTCGCTACAAACACACAAACACTTATTGCTCGTTGTTCGCTGCATTTCATGAACACACTGTTCACTGCACTTCACGAACTGCTCAAGACGTAGAAGTCACTGAACCATAAGTTCCATGCACAGCAAGAGGTGGTTTAACATTGAGCTTTTCACGAAGTAGTTCAAATCTGGAAGCTGATAAGGCTTTAGTAAATATATCGGCAGTTTGATGTTCAGTAGTAACAAACTGCACTTTGAGCTTGCTGGAGGTAACCTGCTCCCGAACATAATGAGCATCTAGCTCAATATGTTTTGTTCTACCGTAAAAGACAGTGTTTGAAGCCAGCGATCCGACACTTTGATTATCACACCAGATGATAGGAACCTCTGGTAGTGGCAGCCCAATTTCAGAAAATAGACTACAAAACCATGCTAACTCAGTGGAACATTGAGCTAAGGCTCTATATTCTGCTTTAGTGGAGGATAATGCTACCACCTTTTGCTTCCTGGAATTCCATTGAATCAGATTAGATCCAAGATACACACAGCACCCACTGGTAGAACGTCTGTCTGAAGGATTGCAAGCCCAGTCAGCATATGTATAGCAGATTAGATTAAATCTGTTATTAGAACTGTATAATACTTCATAGTTTAAGGTTCCTTTGATATACTAAAGAAGTCTTTTACAGGCTTGCCAGTGCAACTGTGTTGGAGCCTTCAAAAACTGACTCAATTTGTTGACTGAAAAGGAGATATCAGGCCTGGACAACGTGAGATACTAAAGTGCACCAACGGTACTCCGATACAGAGCTATATTCTCAAATGGTTCACTGTCTTCAAGAGCTAATTTAGTGCCAACAGCCATGGGAGTAGTGCAGGGATTACAATCCAGCATTTTGGTTTTAAGCAGTAAGTCTTTTGCGTACTTTGCCTAGTTTATGTGCAGATGAGACTTATCTCTTGTAATTTCAAACCCGAGAAAGTAGTGTAGTGAACCTAGAGTTTTCAGAGCAAACTGAGTGTTGAGGTTAGCAACAATCTTATGAACCAGACTTGAATCATTGCCAGTGAGGAGAATATCATCGACATAAACCAGAATATAGACTTGCACTTCTTGGTGTCGATAGATAAAGAGGCTGGGATCAGCTAAAGAATGTGAGAAACCCCATGATAGAAAGGCCTTCTTGAGCTTATCAAACCAGGCCCTTGGTGCCTGCTTGAGACCATAAAGTATTTTGGTTAATTTCCAAACATGATGGGGATATTGTGAACTGACAAAACCTTCCGGTTGCACCATGTGAACTGTCTTAGTGAGCTCCCCATTCAAAAATGCATTATTAATAACCACTTGTTGAATGTCCAACCCATAGCTACTGCAAGGCTCAAGATAACTCTAATTGTTGGAGATTTTACCACAGGACTAAAAGTCTCTAGATAATCAATCCCAAGAGTCTGCTGAAATCCTTTCACCACTAACCTTGCTTTAAGCCGTTGAATGGAACCATCAGGATTGGTTTTAACTTTGAACACCCACTTACAACCCATTGGATGCATATCAGAAATAACGAGACCTAACTCCCAAGTTTGATTAGATTGCGGTGCATCAAATTTAGCCTGCATGGCTGCCTTCCATGAAGAATGAGAGAGAGCCTCGGATACAGTAACTGGTTCTGTAACATTAGTAACTGGCTCTATAACATTACAAGATGAAGTGGACACAACAGCAGTTTGGAGAGATTTTGTCTTGGATCTGGTTTGCATGGGATGAGTGTTTAAGGGCTTATCTTGTGCATGATGAGTTGTAGGAGCAGGTATAGGTAAGCTGACTTCCAGAGGAAAGGTATCATATGACTCATTAGAAGAAAGTGTTATAGGAGACAGAATAGAGTCTGAATGCGGAAAAGGATCTGTAGAAGAAGTACTAATTTGTTTGGAAGAAGTTAGAGTAGGAGACAGTTGTGAAGATGACAAAAACGGGTTACTTGGAGATAAGCCTAGAGAGTTGGAATGAGCACGTGTAGTGGGACAAACAGAAGATCTTGCTAGAAATTCTGACTGATCACATGTAATAGGACTAACATTACTAGACACATTGGTTAAAGGTACTGAAGTGGGAATAGACCAAGAAAAAAAGACAGGAACAACTGGCAAGGATTCAAACGACGCGGTTGTAGATGTTGAAGCAGAGTTGGAGGAAGTATGAAATGGGAAGTTAGACTCATCAAAACGAACACTCTGACATGTATAAACTCGACCAGAAGGATCTAAACATAGATAACCTTTATGTTGAAGACTATACCCAACTAACGTACATTTAACAGTATGGAAATTAAACTTATTAGCACTGTAGGGTCGAAGAAATGGATAGACTGCAGAACCAAAAATCTTGAAAGCAGAATAGTTTGGAATAGTATGAAAGAGTTTCTGGAAAGGACAGAGATTATCACGGATAGGGGACGAAAGTCTATTTGTAAGATAAACTAAGGTTTGAAACGCAAACCACCAATACTTCAGTGGCATACCAGCTTGTGCAAGAAGAGTTAAACCTTGTTCCACAATCTGACAATGCTTCCTCTCTACTCTCCCATTTTGTTGATGGGACATGCCTAAAGAGTATGCCATGATCCTTAAAATAAAAGACCAAACTCCTATACTCCCCTCCCCAATCAGTTTGGACACATTTGACAGAGGCATTAAATTGTTTTTCTACTAGTTTGTGGAACTGAGTAAAAATGGTGTAAGTGTCAGATTTGTTCTTTAGAGGAAAGATCCAAGTAAATCTAGTGTGGTCATCCAAAAATTGTATGTAATATTTGAAGCCTTCAGGGGAGGTGATTGGTGAGGGTCCCCAAAGATCTGAATGAATAAGTTCAAGTGGTTTGGATGCATAAGAACCAGACTTAGGGTAGGTAGACTGGTGTCGTTTGCCATATTGACAGGCTTGGCAAAATTTGATGTCTGGTTTTGCAGGATGAGGTAATTTTAGAGTTTTAAGAATGTTTGTGAGTATTGAAATGTTAGGATGACTAAGACGTTTATGCCATAGCATAAAATCAGTTTTGCAGGTTGGAAAAGCATTCAATTTATTGCCAATAGATGTGTCAGTTACAACTGAAGTTGAAGCAGATGGATTAATATGACCAATACAAGACTGATTATTGACAGAAACATTCAAAGGTGTACACTTATTGAAAGTGGAATACAATTTTTGAGTTGTAGACAAGATATCAACATTCTTATTAGAGACTCTGACAGGAGGACCAAGACTGCTGCTGATAGACTTTAAGGAGACTGAGGGATCCAAAACTGCACGAGATGAAGAACACGATGAATGAACTGGGACTTGAATGCGATAAAGTCCAGCTCTAAGTA